GCGGAGCCGCCCCGGAGCCCCACCCCCCGTACCCGCGCTCTCGGGGGTGGAGCGAGGGAGCGCCACGTGAGCCGGGCCTCGGAGCCGCCCCTGCGGCAGGTTGCGCGACGCCTGCCCTTGGCTCCGCGATGCTCCAAGCCGAGCCGGGAGGGCAGCGTTTCTCTCTGTGCCCAGAATTTGTTAGATCGCTGGCTTTCCGAACTCCTCCAAGACAAAACATTTCTCTCCAGGCCGCATAACGTCCCAAAACCGCTTTGGGTCCCGAATTCCAGCTCACTTCTATGTCTCTGGCCTTTCTAGGAATTTCACAAGCAGTATACTCGCCCGAAGGGAAAAGTCAAGTGTGGTTTAAGCAAAAGGCTGTCAGAAGCCCTTATGCTGGAATGTACTTTAATCCTTAACTAATCAATACGTAAATGAATATTGATATTCTCTGTCTACTTCTTTCATTCAAACATGTGCCAGTCACTGCTAGGCTCTGGAGAAATAAGGTATATTTTCCAAAGGTTTGATGTAAATGAAATACGGTTTATACAACAGACAATATTACAAAAGTATCACTGCCTAGATGGTACATCACCTAATATCCCAGTTGCCAAACAATTATCTGTTAACCACCCTGCTTGGAATACTTGACTATATGTGGAATTGTAAGGAAAACCTAATATTGAGAAAGCAATCTGTAGCCTCAAAAATATCTTAAATTTCAGGAGCTAATCTGGGGATAGGAAGCAGATGGGGACGTGAGGGTGATGGTGTGGCGGGAGAGGGGGAATAATCAGTGCGTATTGTCACAAATACAATGCACACATATGCAAATCTGGATATAGTTTTTAATCTGATGGCAAGAAAACCAAGTTTGGTACGTGATCATTGAAATATCAGATTTTATTTAATAATCATGGATTACAGTAACTCCTAAGGTTTTGTAATCAATCTGTGCACTTTACAAGCTGTCTTTGCTCTGCACCCTTTGATGTCTGCAATCGCTTTTGAGGTCTTTCTCTTGAGTCTTGATGTTTATTTGCTCATTTTATTTTGACAGATTACAAATTTTATTTTACATCTTTAACAGAAGAATTTGAAAGGTTGTGAAGTGGTTGGAAACCCAGAATTTTAAGGAACAATGCAACAGTTCTGATAGAATGCACACATTTTTTATAACACTGAGACCCAAAGAGGGTGACTTGTCAACAAAAGCTTACTACAGCCCATTTTTCCTCGTTTATAGATGAAAATTCTTTCCACATATCAACTCCAAGTTTGTCTATGTTACAGATTTTTTTAAAAATCTATCCAGTTCATGACATTTGAATTTAAGAAAGTTAAATTTAACATAAAACTCTGGTACTGTGGTTTTATAAGGATATTGCCAGATACTAAAGTTTAGTTTCTAGAATTTGGCAATAAATGTTCCTCTGAGTTAGATTTTATTTTTTATTTTTTTATTTTTAGTTTTTTAAACATCTTTATTGCAGTATAATTGCTTTACAATGGTGTGTTAGTTTCTGCTTTATAACAAAGTGAATCAGCTATACATATACATATAACCCCATATTTCTTCCCTCTCCCATCTCCCTCCCTCCCACCCTCCCTATCCCACCCCTGAGTTAGATTTTAGTTCCACAAAAAAATTATCTCACCAGTGCTTACTATATTATTACCAAATAAAGCTCTTTATAGGGTAGTTTGTACCCTAATCACTTTTGATGGTTTCCTATTTAATTTTCTTTAAATCTTAATTGTGGTTTTGTAGAACTTTGAGAAGTAAATTTCATGTTTACTTATAGGTTTTTTTTTTTTTCAGAAAGCATACAATCAGAATGAATAGACGATAAAAATGTGAGAATTTGAGATAAATTTGCACATAAGACGCATTGCCAGATATCCTAAATCATTTTAAAAATGTGCCCCAATATCAGTTTTGCTGTTCATGAATCAGCCTTAATATGGATGGTTGCTGGAATTATATATCCCCATTATATTATTTAATAATTCCTAAATTATTGCATTGCTCTGGATTGTTGACACTTAGGTAAGCAAGTAAGGTGATAAATTTCACATAAAATTTAATGTTTAGTTTTTTTAAATTTATTTTTATTGAAGTATAATTGATTTACAATGTTGTGTTACTTTCTGCTGTACAGCAAAGTGACTCAGTTATGCACATATATACATTCTTTTTGAAACTCTTTTCCATTATGGCTTATCCCAGGATATTGAATATAGTTCCCTGCGCTATACAGTAGGACCGTGTTGCTTAGTCATTCTATATGTAATCATTTGCATCTACTAACCCCAAACTCCCAATCCATCCCTCCCCCATCCCTGCTCCCCCTTGGCAACCACAAGTTTGTTCTCTATGTCTGTCTGTTTCTGTTTCATAGATAGGTTCATTTGTGCCATATTTTAGATTCCACATATAAGTGATATCATATGGTATTTGTCTTTCTCTTTCTAATTTACTTCACCTAGTATGATAATCTCTAGTTGCATCCATGTTGCTGCAAATGACATTATTTCATTCTTTCTTATGGCTGAGTAGTACTCCATTGTATATATGTACCACATTTTCTTTATCCATTCATCTGTCGATGGATATTTAGGTTGTTTAAATGTTTAGATTTTAACACAAAGTCTGTTTTTCTATTGTGGATCAAAATGATGTTTCTAACAATATTTAATATTATATCTTATATATGAACCAAGGACATTGGTATTATTCTATCCTGACTCTCTATTTCTTTTCATTTAGAAATGGTGGTATTATTCTATCCTGACTCTTTATTTGTTTTCATTTAGAAAGGGTTTGAAAATCAGTTTCTGGACACTCGAAGTCTAATATGTTGCCAAAGCACATCTGTAAGATATGAACAAGTCAGAAACATTCAGTTCACAGGGTAGATTTGAACTATTGCCACAACAGAAGAGTGTTTTTTAAATCTACTTTGAAGAGGATTGGAATTATCTTTCTTCTTAAGGTGTATTGACATTCTGGGACAATTTTGTTTCCACCAATAAGGGAACCATAAGCAATCATTCAAAGAGGAGGTTTCTATGTTGTCACAATAGCACCACTCAGCAATAGAGTGTTCAGAGATTGGAACCTGTAAGAGTACTTCCTGACTAATACATGCACAATAAAATGCATATTGAATTAAATGGGCAGCCATGAAGGAGAGAAAAACAAGTTTATTTATGCTTTTACAGTGTGTGTCTAACTCTAACTTCTCATTCCAATCGGACAGCTTTGTGGTCCTGGCAGCCATATTGTTTTATAAATATATCACTATTAGGATCTCCAGCCATCAGTAATGCCTCCCACACTGAGTCTCCAGATGTTGCTTCTTTGGTCAGCGTATTAGTTTGCTAGGGAAGCCATTACAAAATACCATGGACTGAGAGGCTTAAGCAACAGAAATTTATTTTCTCACAGTTCTGGAGGCTGGAAATCAAAGATCAAGGTACCAGCAGGGTTGGTTTCTCCTGCTGCCTCTTTCCTGGGCTTGCAGATGCTGCCTCTGCATATTTGGTTGACCCTCTGTATACACACTCCCCTGGTGTCTCTCTTTTTATAAGGACCAATCATATTGGATTAGGGCCCCACTCTAACAGCCTCATTTTAACTTAATCCCTCCTTAAAGATCTTATCTCCAAATATGGTTATATTCTGAGGTACTAGGGGTTGGGACAAACTATGAACTTTAAGGGAACAAAATTCAGCTCATAGCAGTTATATTTAGCCTACTTTACTTATAATCCTACACTTCATGCCTATGTGACATCAAATATCCTGTTTTCCCGCCCCATCCCATAACCTCTTAGATTGGCAAGGGATGCATTAACACATTAAAAGATAGTTATCTCCACATTTTCTGCCAATATTGACACTTCCAATTAGAATAGTTTTGAAAAACTGAAAACAGATTCTAGTTGAATGTGAACTATATTTTTGCAAGGTCTACTTTGAAAGCAAGCTCTCCGTGGAGAAAAAGCTATACTTCATCAACTGAGAGACAGTACAATAAAGTGGAGATTTCTTGCATGAATCACTTGTTCTTCTTACCTTGATCATGCTCAAAGGCATACTCTGACACTGAAAATGGTTTAGAACCCCAGACCCTCTCTCATTTCTTACCTCTCTTCCCCTGCTATAGTGGTAGGCAAACATTTCCCTGAAATTATCCTATGACATATATGGGCAGAAAAAAACACATCAGAAAGTGACTAATGTCACTTTTTGAAACCTCTATCTCCCTTATTCAGGGCATATGACTACTATGTATGTCCAAATCCCAAAGAGCAACTGAAAGACTGATAGCTCGTTTATCTTGGCCAACTCCCTAAAGCCGTCTGCATATTCCTTGCCTATTTGCTATCAGGAGCATTCCTTGCACTTCTATTGCTCTGCTCTGAATCACGGAAAGAACTACCCATGCATATCCCATGCTCTCAGCTCAGCTGGCTTCAGAATGGATTGGCCAATGAAAGGGATAGGTGGGGTATTAGAATGTGAGAGAAAGGGAGAAGCCAGGCCATTCTGCTTTCTCCTTCTCTCTCTCCCCTTGGGGACATCTCTTTGAGCTATGTCTCTTCGATGGTTCCACTTTTCACCAGCTTGACCTACCCTGGTTCAAGGT